TAGTTAGAATACATATGGCATATATATGTCTTTATAAAAATAAATACCTAAGCTATTGATAGTATTTTGTTTCTCAGACTAGGTAGGTAAGTTAAAGTATTCTAGCACATAATCTTAACTTAAAAAAAAAAAAGAAAAGAACCATCAATGATTCAACGTGTATTAGTATCAGATAGTTAAAGAGTTCCTTGTATGTTTGACATATACACCATATTGTCAAGTACAAGGCTTCTGAATTCTATTTTCTACTCCCCAAAACCTTATTAAATAGAAATTTGTCATTTTTATTTATTTAATCATTATTTACTAGGGAGATTTGCTATCGGACCAAAGACTTTTGCAATTAAACCAAAGATTACTAGTTTTTCATGTTTTATGTTCAAGAGGTATTTCTCCTTCACATACCTTATTATAGTAAAACACATCAGGAAAAGCTAATAATCTTCAGATGTTGTACAATAAATAACTACTTAAGTGATAAAGAGTTAATAAAATTTTCAAGGTCTGCTAAAGAATCATGAAGTCCATCATTCATATCTTGACTTCTAAGAAATTTTTTAAGAGTATCTAAAGCAGTTATTGCGTCATTTTTTGATGGTAACGGGAGTTCAGTTTCTAGAGATCCACCATCATCCTCTTCATCAGAAGTATAAAATCCAGTTTCATCTGATTTACTCTCTTTGGTCAAGACTGTATCGTCACTTGGTGCTGCTTCACATGTCTCCAAATCATCATCCAGTGCAGCATACTCTTCTATAGATAAACCTTCAGGAAATTCCACCCCTGCTCCCAGAGCATCGGCAACCAAATCAACACTAGTAGCCTTTTCTGCTTTTGTTGTGTCACTTTCTTCCTTTTGCAACTTGAATCCTGCCTCTTCATAGCTTTTAACAATAGTCTCTGGGGTTACAGCCCTCCAACATAGATGTAATGTATCAACTGCATCTAGTAGTGAAAATGTAAATTCTTTGCTGCCTTCAACAGAGCTTAAAAATTTCTTAATGAGACAATGTCGATATCTGATTTTAAGGTTTTTAATAACACCTTGTTTCATAGCTATAAATTTAGAAGATAAACATGATGGAAAGAATGCTAACTCAATGGATTTTAGGTTCTTTACCTCTGGATGTGCAGGAAAAGATTCAACAAAAATCACCACTCTTCGTTGCTGGGCTTGAAATTTCTCATCAAGCTTCTGCATCCATTGTTCAAATACATCTGAGGTCATCCATGCCATTCTGTTAGCTTCATAATACACAGGCAATGATTTTATACCTTTGAAACAATGTGGATTTCTGTTTTTTCCAATGATAAGCAAAGGAAGTTTCTCTGAGCCATCCATGTTTGTGCCAACCACCAGAGTGATTCTGTCTTTGCATAACTTTCCAACTGAGCATGTTTCTCCTTTAAATGCAAATGTATTTGTAGGTAACATTCGATAAAGCAGCCCAGTCTCTTTTATATTAAAAACATTTTTAGGATGATAATCATTTAAATAATAAGGAAGTACATTTTGGCACCAGACAGTTGAAGGGTCTACTGATACACCTGTAGCTTCTGCAGGTTGAGCTCTGAATACTAAACCATACCTGGATTTAAAACGATCCAGCCAACCATTACTGCACTTAAAATCATTATGACCCAATTTCTGGGCAAAATCATTAGCTTTTAGACGCAACATTGGTCCATTAACCGGTACATTTAGACACTGAGCAATTCGATACCACCTCATTAATGCCTCTTCCAGATCTGTGTAAAAAGCAGTTCTCAGTCTTTTTCTCTTTGGATCAAATCTTAGAGATTCAAAGGCTTCTAGAACTTTGTCTTTATTCTTCATAATAGAAGACAATGAATTCTTCTTTATTCCATATTCAGCTGCAATCTCTGCTTTTTTCTTGCCACTCTCCACTGCATTTATAATGTCGATCTTTTCCTCAATGGACAGGCTTTTCTTTTTTTTCACTGTTACCGGCAGAGTTGAGGCATCCACAGAAGCTTCTGCCATCTCAGTCAATGCTTATGTAGAGATCTCTCCTCTTATTTCCTGGTGTCTATTTCTTTAATTAAATTTGTTTAACAGTATGATATAGATTGCTCCTTTCAATCCCACCTCATGTATTAAAAGTTGGTAAGTGTCTAATAATCTTATTCTTCAGGAAATTGATGACTATACTTTTTCAAAGCATCTGAAGAAGAAAAATATTATATGCAACTAGAATATTTTAGAAGAAAAACTTCCTTCCTAGAACCTTGTGTAGCTAGCTCAGTTTATAGTTTATTCCAGAGCTCTAGAAGTCAAGCTAAAATAGAAATCTCATTATGTCAAACCTGTCCAGTCCTGCTGATATATTTTTGGAACTTCAGTCCTTTAAGATGATCCATTTTATACATGCACACATTCAACCTTCTATTAATTCTCCACAGAAGTCCTCAGAGATAAGAAGAAAAAATGTTCAGAAATTTTCATGCAAAATGTTACCCATTAATTTCCAAGTCTCTTCATGGTAAAGAAGAAAATGATAGACTCCTCCTAGAACTTGCCAGCAAATATTCTTCTTTGTCTTGAAAAAGTAAAAAAAAAATAAAGAAAAAGAAAGCAGCAATTTTAGTGATATGTCAAGTGAATATCAAAAAGAATATTTATACCAATTATTACGCTCTTAATAATGAAGAGAATGGGAATGTGTTTCTCAAAATATAATAATCAAAGCTTCCAGGAGAAATGCTTACCTCCTGAAGAGCCTCTCTGTGAAAAGCTCTCTGGCTCTGCTCTACGCATTTGAATTCTCACTTGCCTTTTAATACTTTACAATATATAGCTCTGAAATAAATCAGACAAATTTAATCTGTTTTGAAAATGTGGGCCTACCAAAATTAAAGAACTAAAAATGATGCCGGATAGATCCTTGGTGGCTATTTTTTACATGAGGTCACAGACTGCACCCTCTAACTTCTCTAAAAGAAAAACATAGACAGTAGTCACAAGGTTCAACTTTTAATAGCACATGGGAGACAGTGTCTCCTTTATAGAAACTGCTTCACTAACAAATTAAGTGATTGATAATTCCATTTTAAAAAATCTAAATCTCATTCTACCTAAAAGTTTAAAAACCTAGTAACTCTTGTATTCATTTACATAGTAGCCAAATGTACACAGGCCAGAAATACTTGACAAAATTCATAGGAATAAACAAATTATTAAGAGAATATAATGCAGAAAAAGACATAGACTAAGAGTAAAAAGATGAGCAATCATGAGTCTTAACCTCTCAGGACCTCTACTTTCTATCTATTAAAAAAAGGTGCCAGCAGATCAAAATTGAGAAGTGACTCTGCTATTTAGTACTTATGTGATCCTAGGTCATTTACTTACCCATTTGAAGCCTCAGCTTCCTTATATGTAAAATGGGGGTAACTACAGCAGCTACCTCACAGGGTTATTGCATTCACTGACATTCAATGAGATAGTGTAATGCACTTAGCACAGTATTTAGCACCTCAAGAAAGTGCTCAACAAGCGTATGGTGATGATCTCATCATCATTATTGTCGTTCTTATGTCCTTTGGGTGTGTGAATCTACAATTCAAGAAATTTTATAAATCCTACTTGCAAATAGAAGTAAGAATCCCACCTTACATATACATACTGAAAGTAAGTCCTGAGACTTTAAGAGTAGGTTTCTTAAGCCATGAGAACAATCACACGGCCCCATGTGACCTAACTTCTACTTTTCCAGTCAGCACTTCCCTTACCAGAATCTATCATCTTTGGGTCTACTTCAGTCAGGATAACAATAAGCTCATTTGATGAGGGGTGTTACTACTGTGTCAGAGTGCAGGCACTGCATTCCTCTTGATGCGCTTCCAGGTTTCCCAGATGACACATGCCATTTTTGCACAAGATTTTTTTGACAAAACTTTTTGTTATAATTCTTCTGCTTTTGTTGTCCAATTCAAAGTAGCAATTTTTATCACAGGAATTACAACCAGTAAAGGAAGTCTTTTTTTTAAAATTGTTATTGCAAAAGAGAAAATAATAATAATAATAATAATAGCAGCTTAGGGCTTTAGTTTCCAAATGGCTTTACTATCTATATTCCAAAAAACTAAGGAGGAAGGTAAATCTGGATTTCATTGGTTACATAGTCATAACATGGTTAAATGCAGTCCTGAATCTAGGCTTTTTAATGTCAAATCTACATTCTTTTCACTATATTTACAGTATTTTTCAGTCACACTGGTGGGGCCTCCTATTTCCAGTTACACATTCTATGCTCCCAGCACCAAGCCAAGCCAGCATTTCCAATGCCTAATTTTATTTAGAAAAACAAACAAAAAAAAGCAATGTCAGGTCTCCATGGAAGAATAGGCCATTATGAATTCTGTGAACAAAACAGAAACTTTATCCAACTGTTAGAGGGGGCTAATGTTTCTAAGCAATACGATTTGACTATTCAACTGAAAAAAAAAAATCTTACTTGTATATGGGATCTCCCTGTACGTTTTTTTTGCCATCTCCTGAAATCTACAGTTTCAAAATAAAAATTTAAAAAATTGCTCTTATTAAGAAGATATAAACCTTCAGAAATCAAGATAGCAAGAACCAATTTTTTAAGAAAAGACAAAATCAACCAAAATTACTCTCTAAGAGAAAAAAGGCAATCTCTAAACTTCTCCTTTCTTTCTCCCTCCCTCCATCCTCCCTCTCTTCCTTCTGCCTTATTTCATTTGTCAGAAATAAAATCTATCATGTCAAATAACAAGGACTACAGAAAAAGTAATTTGAATTTCCTCTTATCTTGTCCCAGTTAAAGCAATATAATATAATCAGAGATTACTTATTATCTTTTTTTTTTTCTTTTATAGAGTCAGAGTCTTGCTTGATTGCTCAGGCTCTCGCCCAGGCTGGAGTGCAATAGTGCCATCATAGCTCAATATAACCTTGAACTTCTGGGCTCAAGCAATCTTCCTACCTCAGCCTCCCAAGTAGCTGGGACTAAAGGCACGCACCACCATGCCTGCCTAGTTTTTAAATTTTTTTGTAGAGACAGAGTCTCACTATGTTGCCTAGGCTGGTCTCAAACTCCTGGCCTCACACAATCCTCCTGCCTTGGCCTCCCAAGGGGATGGGATTACAGGCATGAGCCACTGTGCCCAGCCATCCCTGATAAAATTGAAAATAGTGATAGCTTTATTTAGGAAGATATTTGTTTTTTTCCTCTGCGTTAACAGTATATATTTTCTTCAAAAACACCAGTCAACACTACAATTTTCCACAGTAAGATATAATATATCTTTATTTCTAAAACAATCACACTTCTAATGCCAAACCAAACAAGCTAGACTTTCTCTCTAGAAAAGAATAAGACACTAATACTGCATGATCAATAAAGCTGACATTCTCCCATCTCCCACAGTATAATACGTGGGATTTTTTTTTTTTGCAGGTAGTAATGGCAGCAGCTAATATTTCTCAGAAGTATCATTCTCTCAATTAAGGACATTAATCATTCTCCCTCTTGAAAATATTACAGCAGAGAAATGCTGAACTACACATTAGGGAATATTTTCTCTATGTCAACAGTAAAGCTGACGAAAAAATAAGAATAGGCAATTCACCAAAAAAGACAATAAACTCCAAATAAAGAAAATAATGGTTAATCCCACTATTAATAAGAGAAATATAAATCTTCTTTTTAAAAAGGAGCTACCTTTCTGTTTTTTGTTTTTGCCTATCAGAATGGCAGTATCTAGTGTTTGCCAGTGTACAGTAACATAAGTTGTTAGGAGGCACATAAATTGGTACAAAGCTTATGGAGGGAAAATTAGCAATATAATACAAAAACCTTAAAAATGTGGATAACTTTTTATCTAGCAAGTCCATATCAAAGATTTTATCCCATAAGAATAATTTCAGATATAAAAATAATTTCTTACAAATGTGATTCGTTTTCTATTGCTATGTAACAAAGTACCATACATTCAGTGGCTTAAAACAACACCCATTTATTATCTCACAGTTCTGTAGATCTGAAGTCCAGGTGGGCTCAACTGGGTCCTCCATTTAGGGTCTCAGAAGGCAGAAACCAAGATGTCAGTCTTATCTGAAGGCTCTGGGGAAGAATTTGCTTCCAAGCTCTATCAGGCTGTTTGCAGAATCCACTTCCTTGCTGTTGTAGGACTGAGGTCCCTAGTTTATTTGCTGTAGCCCTCTTCATTTCAGCAACGGAGAATTTTCCTCCTGTAGAATCTCTTTTACACTCTGAATTTCTTTGACTTCTACCGTCACCAGAGGAAAAAAACTCTGCTTTTAAAGGGCTCATGTGATTAGGTTAGGTCCAGCCAGATTATCTCCTTTTTAATTAACTCAAAGTTAACTGATTAGTAACCTTAATTACATCTGCACAATCCCCTTGCAAGTAACATAGCATAATCATGGGGGTAATATTCCATCATGTTCAGAGGGGAGGAAATCATATGAGGTGAGGGTCATTGGAAGTCATCTCAGAATTCTGCCTACCACACAAGAATGTTCCTCACATTGTTGTTATATAATTATAGGCAAAACTGGAAATCACCTAAATGTACAACAAAAGGGTTAATTAAACAAATTAAGGAATATTTATATTCTGAAATACTATTTAGCCACTGAAGGAGAATATTTACTGATATAAGAAAAATTCCATGATATATTAAGTGGAAAAAGCAAAATACAGAACTATATTTCAACAAATACAACATATACTAAAAATTACATGAGAGCAGAAGCTCATGGCTATTCCTATGGAGCCCACTGCCAGCAAACAGCAGGTTCTCAACAACAATTTGTTAAATAAATGAAGAAATATATATCTATATATATAAAAAGAAAAAAGACATTGACCAAAATGCTGAATGTCCTCTCTAGGTAACTGGATTATGAATAAATTAATTTTTTTCTCTTTATAGTTAAAAACATTTTTACAACTATAATGTTCTACTTTGGCACTAGATTCTTTTTTTAAAAATCAGTATTAGGAAACATAAAGCTGGCATTCTTCCCATTCAGGATTTCTAGGGATAGTAAGTTACTCTCCTTTTATCAGTAGTTCACAGTCCTCTGCAGAGACTCAACCACTTTCCAAACTTAAGCAAGCACTCACTCGTTGTCTTCCACAGATAGCAACTATGTCCACTTAATCCTGCCTGTACCATTACCCCAAGTAGTAGCAGTTGCTGGTATTCTAGAACTTGCCTGGTGTGCTGCAGACAACATATTTCTATAACCCAAGCAAATAGTCAGTTTCCTGGTGCTATGAGAGAATCAAATGAGTCCAAAGTTCAGTTTTACAAAAAGGATCTTATTTATCGTGAGAAACAGCTATGCAGAGACAGTAGTCTAAAGCAGACTAAAATGGGGGCTCAAATTAAGGGCTGTGGGATCAAAGAGGAAGGAAAAATGAATTCTCACAGGGAAGATAAAGAATGGGCTATTATAGAAGTAGCATCTGAACTCAACCATAAGGGATGGATAGGTACATGACAAGTAAAGAGAGATAGAAAAACATTTCCACTAACAAGAATAGAAAGTAAAGCATGGAGAAGGGAAATTACAGGGCAGTTTGAAGAATATTAAACAGTTTTATGTAACTAAAGCTTCATATCAATATTGTTATCTATACCTTTATCTATTAGTTGGCTAAATGAGCACTTTTCCTACAGATATAAAAAAAAGAGAGTATTCATTTAATTGACTATACCCTGTACACACTGGAATGCAAGACCGGGATTAGACCTTGGTAAGCTCTGAATGCCAGGATAAGGAATTATGCTACAAATGCCATTCAAGGTTTTTGACTGGAAGAGCAACAGGATCACATGAGAAACTTTCCCCAGTTACCACAGTAAATTCGTAAGAAAACTTTGCTGCATTTAGAAAGAACTGACTCAGAGCTTTAATATCACTAAGTTCAATAAGTACACAAGTATAGTCTCTACATGGCTGAATGAAGTTGTAATTTTTTTTAAATGTAAGAAGTCCTAGTAACTCACACTGTACACCTTCACTTTGTACCTTACCTATCTGGGGATTTCTTAAAATGTTCCATTCTTCAGTATCCTCTAATGAAGGGTTTGTTTCCCGAGGATTACACTGTGTGATCAGCAACCTAAATCTCTCTCCATGAAATGAGAACTACTGATAAAGAGCAATGAAATTTTTTGAGACATCATCAGAATTCCCATAGAAAAGATCTGAAGGTAGCACCTTCTTCTTTCTCTTGAAAAAATAACATTGATAAGCAGTATACAGTTACTCAACATCTAAATCAGAGATATATGGTTGTTTGCACATTTAATTCATTCAGAAAGGAATAAAAACAATATCCTTTAACCTGTTGCCTCCTTTCCTTCCTGGTCACTAAATAAAAGACAGGCTACTAGAGTTCCTCACAAACTCAGTGAATAAATAGTACTTGATTTTTCAAAAGCTGAATAAACAGCTTTTGAAAGCCAATAGCAGTGCAAAGATAAATGAATAGATTATCTCTGTGTCATAAGTATATATGGCAGGAAGCTATACCCTTTTTTCTTACCTCTCCAAATGTGAATGCCAATTCAGAGAAAAGTAGTAATCTATCCTTCCCAAATATAAAATGAGAAGGTAGAATTCCCCAAGTTCTAGGGCAAAGGAAGGAGGAGAGGGAGGGGAGGAGGCTAGAAGAAGGGAAGAAAGGAAGGAGAAAGAAGGGAAGGAAGGAAAGAAGGAAGGAAGGAAAAGAAAAGAAAAAGAAAGAAAAAAACCCCCAAGTCTCTACCTAAGCAGGGCTAGGTTTAAAATAAGGTCTTTGTTAGTACCAAAAATTTCCCCCAAATCCAAAGAACACTGGCCACTGCTTCCTTTATCCCAAAGGATGTATAGAATTTCACTATTTTCCATCACCAGCTTAAATAGTTTCCAGTGTTTTCTTAGAGCCAGACTGCTTTCTAATTTCCTTTGGGGCAGTAAAAATCATGGAAAAATTAATGCTCTGTATAGCCATGTACAGAGTAATACTAGGGATGAAGATTAATCATGCACAGTACCAAAATCTCACCGAAGAGTATCTAACATGACTAATAGCATCTTTACCAAGCAAAATTGAGCTTTAGTTCCAAGCAGTTCCTATTCCGTCAGAATCTCTATCAAAACCATCAGCAGCTGCCAAGGAAACTATCCAGCTAAAGGCAAACTAAAGCAAGTGCTCACCTTTCTAGAATGAAAAATATACCTCTGAGTCTAATAGTGAAGCTAAGCATCCCCAAATTCAAGAGCCAGCTCAGTTAAGTACTTATTGTCCACATCAATCAAGCACTGCAGAGCAATACCATGCATTTCTTCCAAGTCACCCTTCTGAAACCTTGGGAATAACACTTGTACTTGGCTACTATAATAGTTACTTTAGTTAATAGTTAATATAATAGTTAATAGTTACTTTGTAACTATTAATACTGTGTTCCTACACAATAAGAGCAGTAATTATTCTAGGCTGGAATTCTTTTCTCATAATTGAGAAGGCTAATTCGCTCCAAACCAACAAGATGGCTTTGAAAAGAAAAATCCACTGTAAGTTACAGAACTGAAGTTACAGTTTGAGTGGGATGCCATGCATAGTTGCTCTTTTTCTTTTTTAAACACAGACCCATTTAAGAAAAGAAAGGACTTGTTATACACATATTTATGTTTTGGGATTTCAGCACTCTTTTCATAAATGGTGGTATCCTGGAGATCTCAAACAATACTGTTATTTACGTTTGAAACATTTATGGTATTACAGGTATTTACTATTCACGGATCTGGGGGAGATACCTGTCAGGGATATTTCACTATACTGAAACTCCCCGGAAATTTGTAGAGTTCTGCCTTTGGGCACTCAGTCATTAAAAATATCTTCTCAGCCAGGCACGGTGGCTCACGCCTGTAATCCTAGCACTCTGGGAGGCCGAGGCGGGTGGATCCCTCAAGGTCAGGAGTTCGAGACCAGCCTGAGCAAAAGCGAGACCCCCGTCTCTACTAAAAATAGAAAGAAATTATTTGGACAACTAAAAATCTATATAGAAAAAATTAGCCGGGCATGGTGGCGCATGTCTGTAGTCCCAGCTACTCGGGAGGCTGAGGCAGTAGGATCGCTTAAGCCCAGGGGTGTGAGGTTGCTGTGAGCTAGGCTGACGCCACGGCACTCACTCGAGCCAGGGCAACAGAGTGAGACTCTGTCTCAAAAAAAAAAAAAAAAAAAAAAATCTTCTCAGTTAATGTGACGAGTAAAGGCAAGTTGAGAAGCTTGGTCTAAAAACGGGTAAATCCCACCACGTGCACAGTTACCCTTCGAGTTTCGAAATGGGAGTAAAAATGAGCATCCAAGGCTGTCAAAGGAAAAGCAGTACAGCAGCTCGGAGGAAATGTGTGCGTGGATGGACCAGCTGTATGTACTGTATGTAAATGAACTTCAGGTGTGTGTAGCACCACTGCCGAGCCACACTCTCCCTCCATTCAGTGCTGGAGGTGAGGAAAGTACAGAAGTGCAGGTTGGGGCCTCACTTTAGGAAACTAAGAAGGGCTGAGAGAAGGAATTGTTCAGCGGGTTCTACAGACAGGGCAGTGATCTATTTAAGAAGCAATGGGGCGAGCAAAGAAAAGCAGAGCTCGGTCGTCTGGAAAAAGAAAGAGGAGCAGGAAAGAAAAGTACTGGGATCCACTGTCAGTGAGCGAGTAGAGCAGAAAGTGATCACAAAGACAAAGCAAGTAAAAAGAGCTCACGGGTGCCAGGTATGGGGTCTAGCCTTTTTCAGGGGAGAGGGCTCTCCAGGCACCGGGAAGCGAGAGTGAGGTGCTCGCATCCGGTCCGCTCCCTTATCCCCGCGTTCACTCCACCACCCTCCACCCCACTCCCCGAGGCTGGAATAACCTTCTTCTTGCTCTGCGGTGGCTGAGAAGGAAGCTTTGACTCTTCTGTGGTAACGTGCCAGTGAGCTACGTCCACCTCCACACGCCAGGCACCGGCTCAGAGGCTGTTGCCAGGACGCCTAACCCCTGAGGCCGGGGTGTGTGAACGAAAAAGAAAGGACGCGGAGGGCTCCTGAGGACCTCTGACCACTCAAGATGAGGCCCGAGCGCCCTCCGCAAGCTCCCAGCTCCGGCTGGTGGCCTAGGACCCGCGCACACACCCCTCTGCTATTCGGCCGCGACCGTAGAATTACCCGGGCAACAACACCGCCGGAGCCCCGGATGTGGTTGCTAGGGCAGCAGAGAGAGGGGCGGGGCCAGCCTCCTGGAGAGGGGCGGAGGGAGCCTCGTGGGAGGTGCGCTGGCACCATCGAGACGTGGCTGGGCCAGGCCAGATTGAGGGAGAGAGAGGCCGTCCAGGGCCAAGGACAACGTTACTTCCGGTCCGCTCACTTCCGGCTTCGCTGCTCCTGGTGCTGGTTCTGGAGGCTGGGTTGAGAGGTCGCCGGTCCAAGTGTCCTCGGCGGTTGGTCAGTGTGAGCCTGTGACAGCTGCAGTTGCTTTCCGCCCCCGAAGATCTGAGGTGCGTGGGGGGAGGGGAAGAAGGAAAAGGTCCGGGTCGCGTTTCCGCTCACTTCTTGCCCGAGTTGAGGCGATTTATAGGAGCAGCGGCAGGGATAATCCTCCACTTGAGAGCTGCCGGGTTCCCCCGCAGACAGGTGAGGGCGGAGTTGGCCCGCCGGGGAAGAGGCGGGGGAAAGATGGCTTGAGGTGGTTGGCGGGGCGGACACGTTGCCTCCGGGTTCGTCCTTCTGGACTTTCACAGCGAACTTCTATCCTTAGTCTGTGCCGTATCTACCCAAGGATCATTTTGGTTTTTGACTCTTCATTCCTCCTGTCCCTCTGAGTGTGCCCCCGAAACAGTCGATTGAAGGAGTAGGACCGGCACTTCGAGGGCGGCACCCTCTCGGGAGTGCTCGCACGATCCAGATCGTTTTTGACGAAGTGTCGGAGTGGGCCACCTTCACGTTTGGTGTCCAACCTTTATTTTTCTCCTCCTCTCCCTGCATCCCCCACTTCCTCTCTGCCGTAGCTAGAGGAAGGGAGATAGTGATAGTCCCTCTGAGAGGTTCATCTGTCAGTGGTACAGGGAGGAGCCTTGCCTATGAAATGTCCCAAGTCTGACTGTACTTGAGGACGTCCAAGGAACGCTGGAGTTTTGGAAAGGGACTTTTGCTGTTGTCTTCTGGTCGGTTCTTCTTTGCCAAGTTACTGCTGTTTACGTGTCTAGGAAAAGGAAAGAGGTTTTTTTTTTTTTAAACAGTCCTTAGATGCTAGACGTTTTTCCCTTTTACTTTATTATTACTTTGTTTTGTTTTTGTCTTCCTTTTGAGCTCTTTGATCTTAAAATGTTTGTACTTTACACTTCCTGCAAATCCTTTAGCCACTCTTTCATGATTTCATCCTCTTCCCACTTCGTTTTCTTTTAGATTATATAATTTTTCTAACT